TGCTAACAAAGTAGGAGTCAAATTTGAGGAAGTTCCCTTTTGGGGGTTTTGGTAGTACTAAATAGTCCTATGCTCACTTGGATTTATAAGTTTTGTTGGAATACATTCACTATTTTACTTCTTTATTTCAGTTTCTTTTCGTCGTTTAATCTTTCATATATTTTTTTATTGAAAAGTAATTACTTGGATTTTCACTTACCTTAAAAATATTGAAATCAAATCAATACAACGCGATTTAATTTATCAATCGTTTGCACAGAGGCATGTGTGTGTTTATTTTAGTGTTTATAATTAAATACGAAATTGTGCAGACAATTTTTTCATTGGTTCTATTCAATGATATTCGGCGCAATTAAACAGATGTATCATGTTCAGGAGGGATACTTGCGAAAAATGCCAGTCTTGAAAAGAAATGTTCTTCGCATTTATAACATGGGATAAATTTTGAAAAGATGCCGACCTCATCTAGTGGGAAACTAAAGGTTGTTTTTCTTCTTTTCGTCATCAAAAGGAAAACCTGTGAAAAGGTTCATAGATAGTCAGAATTGCAGAGAAGTATTCAAGCATGCACTATGATGTTGAATTTGAAGAAGTAACTAATTATTTACCGAATTGAAAATATTTCCGTAGAGTTTGAATGGATACCAGATTATTTCTTTTGAATTTCTTTCACTTTTTAAATGAATTACTGGGCCCATTCACTACTGATCGTTTTGCTTCTGAATGCAATGCAAACAAGACTTGTTTTAGCATGATCCTGATCAGAGACGACATTAACTGTTCAAGGGTATACCCTTGCACGGTCTAAAACACAGAGACATGATTTATCGTTGTTGTATTATCACTTGTCTAACTAATTTTGATTATTTGTACAATTTTCAGCTTAATTTTCACTGGATAATTGGTTATGCGGAATTTAATTCGTAACTTTTTAATGAAAGATTTGGCCGAGGAATGTCCTAGTTTTATCTTGAAATCCAAAGCCGAGTCTACCAGGACCAAAAAAAAGTTTAGTTTCAAAGTTGTGGGTAAATGGTGTTATTCGATTCATTTTCCAACACAAGAAAAAAACCGATCACACCACATATCCCGACGCTTCTTGCACATAGACACGCTTACATGTATGTATCTTTAATCTTTATCCAATTGGAGGACCACAGCTATTTGATAAGTGCATGTACCATTGTAAATGTAAAAAGTGTTTTGAATTAAAAAAAGAAAACAACATGCCGAAAGCTCAAGGGATTCAATTACGGATTTTGAAAATTACGGACTGGCACAGTTTAAGTCATAACTTCGAAAGTTTAACGGATCAATTTAACGCCAAAAAATAGCTGTAAAAGTATTCACTCTACTATTAGGGTGTTGTTAGGTACTGTTATCAGTAATTCGTCTTTAGCAGTTTTAAAAAAATCTAATATTATTGGGAAAATTATACAAAAAACCCCACCTTTTTAATGATAAACCATGTTAGCATCGAGCAACTAACCAATATGACTAACGTTACTTTAAATACAACACAGCGGATGCATATTAAAGGATTAGCTTCACGAAAAGTCAATCCATTACCGACATAGTTATAATTTGAATGTAAAGTACCTCACCAAGTTATTGTTTTATTGAATGTGTATCTTAGATATAAAAAAAATAGTTGTGCGTTTTAATGATGAAAAATTATCGAAATATAATTGCGAATATAACTGAGGGGCCTGATGGGTTATTTTCGTTCTTCGTGATCGGCGCATTTTCGCTATCGTGATCCGTTTTTCTACAGATTTACACTCTTTTTATATTTTCGTGATCCGTGATCATGGAAATTTATTTTCTGTGAATCGTGATTGACAAAAAAATCAACTCGTGAATCGTGATGAGACCCCCCCCATCAGGCCCCTCATAACTGTTCATGAAGATATAAATCGAAATTAAAATCACCTTTCATCAAAAGTATGTTTTTGTTTGATCAGTAGGTATCCGATAGTTTGATCAGTAGGCATCCGATAGTTTGATCAGTATGTATCCGATAGTTTGATCAGTAGCTATCCGATAGTTTGATCAGTAGGTATCTGATAGTTTCGATAAAAGAAACTATCTTAGATACATTAAAAAAAAACACAGCTTACATGATTAAAGTGGTGAGGGTTATACTATTATTGACACAGCTTAAAGAATGTTTGTGAATTTTTGCCTATACAGTACTATGAATGTTTTTCAGTGCCAAATTGAGACGTTCCTGGTACTAAAACTTTGATTGTTTTCACTACCCTTTTTTTTTTTTGCAACTTGAATTCCGGCAAAAGAATTGTATCCAGTGATTTAATAAACCTTTGTGGTGCATTTAAGAATAGCACATATGTGGAAATTTTGGGAAACTGTACAGTTATTGACACCGCTGATAGAACTCATCAAAGATATATGGCTTACAATTTGGTACGTCAGACGCACATTTCATCTGCATTAGACAAACAGTTGGAATTAATGCCAAGTTAAATATGAAAATGAAAAGCATTAAAAAACGGAATATCCGAAAAGTTTTCCAAATACGTTTTAGGCAAATATATGTGGAAGAAAATGAGCATATGAATGATATTTTATGTCAACACAAAGCCGACTACTGGCTAGAGATATCCTCGGGGACGAAACGTCTACCACCAGTAGCATCGACCCAGGGGTTTAAAAAAATATCAAAGATACAAGGCGTTCAATTATGAACACAAGTCCGTTTCTCCTTATCAGTGGCGCTCGAATCAAAACAGTTGGAGGGCCTAATAAAATACGACGACGAAGAGCATTACAAACCGACAATTTCCGAAAAGTTGTGCAAAATACGACTAAGGCAAACTAAGCATGGGTGTATGGAAACTTTAGTGTTACGAATAATCCAACATTTTATAAACAGTAAATTCATAGAAAATGAAAAGTCTCTGAGTATCAAATGAATACTTGGCCCTTTGAAGCTCTTTTCAAGATTGCGTGATAATACTTCGATGCACAACCTTTCTTTTTAAATGACTAATTTATACAGTGACAATATATGTTAACTAATCAATAATTTAGCAGATTAAATGTTGGTTTTTTTTTTATCTCAAAACATTGTTAAAAATTTCCTCCTACTGAAAGTGAAGTTGTGTATCTCTTTCATTTCTTTTTATTTTCGAGATGAATTTTTCGGTGTCTAATTTTACTCTTCCACAATTACGATTTTATCCTTTATCCACAACACCCTATAAACCACTACGTGATTTTCAGGGATTCACATTGGACACAAATTCAAACCAAACTTTTAAGAAGCCTCTATCATCCGTACGTTATTTAGTTTCCGTAGTAACGACAATATCTAAAATAATGCATTTAATTTGACAAAATGCATTGAAATTGCTGAGATATAATTAAGTGTAAACTTACCGATGTGAGTATGCAAAGATAGCAAAAATATTACAGTGACGAGTAATATTCAACTGAAGCTTTCAGCGAAAACTTTGAGAAAATTGAGAAATGACCAACATATGGAATTAGAGGCAAAAGTGGTACCGATGTTCAAATCTCATAAATCCATTGAGATTATACAAATCAGGGTAAAATTAAAATCTGATGGAATGACCGGATGCGTCAACGTGATAAGCGTCTCCTTCTAAGCAGCATAAATCTGGGAATGAATTTTGATGTTCTTTAGTATTTGTGTCCCGTATGTATGATATATAATATGTTGGATTAATCATGTCAAAAGACAGATGGAATATAGTTATACATGGTCATTCGTGACACCAAAAGAAAGCAACAGTAAAGTTAAATGAGGACACATGATTTCAACTTCCGAATTCATCTCAAACGTATCGATAATTAGTGCAAAAATAATAATGAAACTCTCTTTTTTCTTTATTATTCTTGTAACCAGAGGGCCCATTTTCTATACGAAAATATGCATTGGGATTTTGTTAAAACATTTTTCAATTTAGTTTTAGGTGGGAATATTTTTTTTCACATAGTCCATTTTAATGAAAGATTCCACGTGTTGGCCATGATTCCAAATGCTGATCAATCGTAGGAATGCTCACTTAATATTTGTGAGAATCTTTGTTGAAATTGACTAATTAACTCAACATAGATAGCAGGATTTAAATTCTGTACGCCAGACGCACGTAACGTCTACAAAAAACTCAGTGACACTCGAATAAAAAAAGATAAAAAGCTTGAAAAGGCCGAATAAAGAACGAATTTAAAGAGCATTTAGGACCCAGAATTCCGAAAGGTTTTGCCAAATACAGCTAAGGTAATCTATTCCTGGAGTAGAAAATGCTTAGTATTTCGAGAAATTAAAAGTTCTGTCAAGGGGTTAATTCATAAGATACATGAGATACATAAGATATCTCTTGAAACTATGTTACCCCAATATCGCCATGATTTTGACCTGATCAAAATAAAATGAGAATCGTTTGTAGAGGGTCTCTTAACATAATCTCTACAGTTTAAAAATCTCGCCCTGTGGTTTTAGAGTAATAGATTTTTGAAAATCGGCCAATCAGAATCGTTTTCTCTGGAGGCCATGTTTTTTCACAAATCGGGACAAAATAAAATATTTCAATAAAAAACCTTCCACACATTATTTATGCCAAGTTCGGTTCAATTAACTTCGTGTTTCAAGGTCGATTTTGAATTTGTTAATTGTCTAACGACGGTCGAATGACCAACTCATAGTGATGACAATAGCTAACCTGGACCATTCCAGTTGAGATTAAAGGGACACCTACCAAATCGATTTGGATAAAAATGTGATCTTTTTTGACATTGTAAAGATGTCATTCAAGCTTTGTAAATAAGATCATTCATCGTTCCCTGTTTATTATATCTATTGTATCTAATTGAATTGTTAAATATCCTAATCAAGATCATCTTTTAAATGTTTGTGTGCATCGACTCGCAAATAAATATCTGATATTATTATTTCAAAACAAATATGGTTGGTTATTCCAGTTTTGAATGTGAGTATATGTTTTTTTAATTGAGGGCAAACAATTTTTGGTCTATCCTTCATCAACTATTTTCGAAAATTTCGTAAAAGTTACGATGGAAAGAAGATTGTTTAATATTATGAGTTGTCTCTATTTTCAGTTTGTGGAATAACATACGTTTTCCCAGTGATTTTTAAGTTGTTAGTATTATACAATCGAGGCTTGTATTTATAGATAGGTAACAGACGTGTTCAACGGTTCTGCCTTTTTATATACAACTCTTACAAAAGAATTCCTCGTAAAACGTTTAACAAAAAAGACTATAACTATTGTTGAAGCGATGGACTAGGATTTTTATGAGCAATGTTTTATCCAAATTTGGAAACAGAAGTGTCTTCTGCATTAAGTTAGTATACAGTCCTTGTGTTCACATTATATTATAGCCTGTTTATATATATAAGTTTAGCGTTTACGAAAAAAAAGTACACAAATTAGATTAAACATCCTATCCCAAATAATACTTATTAAAATGCTTGCTGACGAATTATGATTTATCAATATTTTGCCTTAAAGTTGTATAATTGCAATGATGCATCAGGTCGGTACTTAAGCACAAAAATAACAAACAGAAGACAAAAGAAACAGAATACCTATCGAGTAGATAAAACGCCCAGTAAGAATTAACTATTGATTCAGAAGAAATATTCATTTCAATACGGGATTTCAAAAAAGAAATCTAGTGATATTCATTGAGATGGGTGCCATGACATTTTCTCAGTAGAGTACTGTTTATATTCTAATTTAGATCTTTCTTTTATTAATAACTAGAATAATGCCTCTCTTTTAGTAAATGATGGGTGCTTAATTACTATTTGCTTGAATTCGTGGAAGTTTTGTGCATATTTTCCACAATAATTTTGTGGTATCAAATCATATCTAATCAGGAAATAATAAAGTATTTTCCGTATATCCAATTCTATCTTTTTTACAAAAAAAAGAAGTTATCTTGAGGTATTGTAAAAAATCGTTTTTATCTGAAGATATATCTAAAATTTTATGAAGTGCATGTAATTATAAAATGAATTTGTATCATCAGGTCGAAGATTTTTTTTTTAGCTTTGTGGAAATTTTATATAGTGGACAATAACAAAAATATTATACAAAGGTGATTTAAAAATCATTGTTTAAATTCATATAAAAACCAGACATAGTTTATTCTTGATACAGTTTTAATACAGTAGACAATTTTGCGTCTGTTTCATTTTTAGTTTTCCCCGCATAATGATGGTACATCTGCTGGATGCATACACCAGTTGTATTGTAATGTTGCATATGTTACAGTACTATGGACCAGTCAAATCTGACATATGGGGTAAGTGAAGTTAAGGTAAAGGTCCTCTTTTCCAAAAAGTATCGATTTTCGTCGACAAGAACATTGGAGAAATAATCTAATACATGTATATACGACAAAATTATATTATTTGAAAGCCGAGAATATACATTCAGATTAAAAATAATAACTGTATTTATCACTTTTACCTTAAACATATACTACAGAATATCGATTCAAAGATTGAAGCAGTTGCGGATGCAAGCTGAATGTCGATAATGAAAAAATGCCTTCATTTAGACTCTTATATTGATGATGATGTGTACATAGTGTAAGAAAAATACGTAGAAAAGCAATGTTTTACTGTATGCAATATGAAAACCTGTTTCAGTGGTTGTCGTTTGTTGAAGTGGTTATTAAGTGTTTCCCGTTTCTCGTTTTGTATATAGATTAGACCGTTGGTTTTCCTGTTTGAATTGTTTTACACTAGTCATTTTGGGGCCCTTTATTGCTTGCTGTTCGGTGTGAGCCAAGGCTCCGTGTTGAAGGCCGTACTTTGACCTATAATTGTTTACTTTTTACACTTTGTGACTTGGATGGATAGTTGTCTCATTGGGACTCATACCACATCTTCTTATTTCTATCAACAGTCATTTGTAAATTATGTGGCGTAGTGTAAATGACAGAACTTGGGTGTTTTTCTTTTATTTATTTCATAGACAGTTAAAGATTCTTTCGAGGGGCTGGGGTAACAAAATTTCCATCTTCACAAATTACTTTATTTTAGGGATTCAAAAACAATATATATATATGGTTTTTCAATGTTTTTAAGGTTAAGTATTCTGAAATCAAAATAACATTATATTCTAAATAGGCTTTCTGTAATGTTTATGATTCGACATGATGCTGTTGATAATTTTTTTTATAGCTATTATACTGTTATTTAACAGTTTGTGCTATTTCCGTACTGATGTTCATTGTATGTTTATTCATGAACATATTGTTAGTTCACGAATTTTATTTTTATTCAATATCAAAACATGATAAAAATAGCAGTACTTTACAAAAAATGGCTTGAAAGTAAACAATTAGTGTCGATTAACAGTTTGACCGCCGGAATATTTGTGGAAAAGCGAAGGAATAAAAATTAAAATTCCGACATGAAATTTATCGCATCTTCTTATTTGTCTTGAAAAATATTTTAAGATGACACTAACTTCAAAGTAACTGCTTATCGAATCCAATCAAATATCTTTGAACCTGTAATTAGATTTACTACAACGTAGCCTCATCTTTTCTAATGTTATTTGTCTGGACATTTCATCCATCTGAAATCTTCAAATCATACCAGAGTTATAAAAAAATATTTCTTTTATGACACTCAACGCTAAAACCAAATCGGTGCATCATTCAATGTCGAAATATGTTCAATATAGCAGTGCTTTACCAAAAATGGCTTGAAAAAAATATAATTAGGGTCGATTAACATCTTAACTTCTAATATTTGTAGAAAAGCTGAAGAAGAAATAAAATTCTCATATATATAATATCGACTCTTCATATTTTGTCTTAAAAAATAATTCAAGATGCCATTAACTTCAAAGTAACTGCTTATCGAATGAGCCAATTGTTTAACAAAATTATACATACTTTTACCTTTTAAATCATAAATCAATCGATTTTTGACAGAGGAAAAAGAAAGGTACTGTAAATGTTGGAGATCAAAAGCAGAATGTTTGACAAACAATAGATTGGTTCTAGAAATTTCTTTGGATAATTGTACATCCACATGGTTATGGGAATCGAGACGTCAATCTCAAACAACAGATTTTCAATACAACGTTTACCTTAATGAGACTCTTATTGAAAACAACATAGTAACTTGTCACAGGAAAAAGGTAAATATACTCACCACATACTTAAAAATTTACTTTTAAAGAAATAAAAACATCCAAAAGTCCAAGAGCAAAGAAAGTCATAATGACGTACATTATTATGAATTAGAATCCCAGGTTTAAGGAAATTCACAATGACAACAACAAAAAAAAAGACGAAATAGATATTTCAGTATGCCGAGCCTAAATGTGCGTGCTTCGATTGGCAAAATATTAATTGCATTTATAATTGTGTAAGTAATCAGAGCTCAATTAATCGAAATTATTTAGTCGCATGTGTAGTATAAGATTCAAGGTCAGATACATTATAAATATTAGTAGAAACTTGTGGACTTGCACATTAGTTTAAGTGCAATTATGTTATTTATTAACATGAAATTCTAAACAAAATGCATAATGCAAATCATGCTGGTACCGCAACATTGACTACTGTGCGAAATTTTTACTTTGGGGACTTTAAGTTCACCGTCCACGTGAATAAAAAAAACCTTTCGGTACAGATTTCCGAGGACATGGCATGTTTCAGGAATAATCTGTATCATTACTCTCGAAACCAAACCACTGGAAATCCAAAAAATATAAAACGTTCAGGAAATAAATTCCAACGGGTTTACATATTAAGGCGACAGTAGGGTATCCATATTCAAATCTCGTAAATCGATTAAAAAGAGAAAAACCAAGTTAACAAAAACTAAGGGAATCACATGATCTCCAAAAGGAGCAAGACCGGGTGCAGTCAAAACCGCCTATATGCCACTTTAACAACCTTAGTTTTTGTACAAATGAATAGCTCATGAATAAAAAGTTGCAGAAACATCCTTTTTGGTATGGTTGTGGCTTTTAAGAAGTATATATTTAAATTATACATAGGATGACAGTACCAAAGAAAAAAAATAAACAATGTAAAATCACACGCAGTGATGAAATGATTGCGTATGTTTACAGGTTCCATCTTGTAAGGTATACTTACCCAAAAAGACCTGGATAACCATTACCGTAAGTGTTATTTCAACATATTGTGTTACTAAAATCTCGTACAAGATACTCTGTTTAACGTTTTATAAGCCCGAAGCACGTTTTGTCTATTCATAAGACTCACCAGTGCCGCTCAAATCAAAACAGCCGAAAGGTGTATCCTTTTCAATGAGATAATGATTTGCTGACATTACTACAGAAACACACTTTTACAAACATTTAAAATATTTGTATCTGTATAAAAAAGCTCACCAAAGATGCTAGGAGTGTGTTTAATATCAAAGTAGATTAGTAGCGCTACGTAGATTTGGATTTATAAACGTATAAGCCTAGCCGCTAAATAGATCTAGATAGGCCAAAAAAAAATTTATATCTTTCGACGCAAATTTTGATAGGCTGGATACGTTGAATATCGTTCAACATAGATAGCTATCTATGGCATTGCGCGTTACTAGCTGCTTCGATATTGTATACAACACTGGTCTATAATTGTGTACACCAGACGCGCGTTTCGTCCACTTAAGACTCATCATTGGCGCTTAAATCAGTAATGTTAGGGCCAAATCAATAAAAGAGTTGAAGAGCATTGAAAACAAGAATTCCAAGAAAGTTTTAAATACGGTTAAGATAATTTATAAATGGAAGTATACCGACTGGTATTTCGAATGCCTTTATAAAGATTAATCAGCAGTATATTTAAACATATTCAATCATAGCATGTTTAGCTGAGACGTGGAACACTATGCTATAACAGCCTAGACAAAAATAGCTTCATTTAACCAGTCAAAATCAAACGTCATCTTATTTTCTAAAATAAACATTCATGCTATTTCAGTTGTTAGAATAAAAACAAGTTGCAAATTCCATCTTCAGCAAAGTGTATTTTTTTGTGCGCTTGGCTCTGTTTACATATTGATTCGTATCAGATGAAATTTAGACCATGCAAGGTTAAGTTGTTAATCCTGTCAGTGCCCGAACACATTCAGAGGAAGGCATATTCTCTTCTTAAAAACTTGATAAATTCATCTCATAACTGGAGTTTCTATGATATACAGAAACATATTAATGCTTAGTAAGTATCTGTAATTCTGTAAAGTTGAACTTTATGGTGAAACATTTTTTTATATTGCAGGTTGCTCCTGTGTGTCGGTTTTTCCGTTGCCGCGCTGGAAGACGGAGTAAGTTTATTCGTATAACATATATTTGAACAAATTCACGTAAATGTTGCTGATCTTTTTCTAAATGATGCACTGAAAATACGTTTGTAAATTTTTCCTAAAGGTGCCTTTCCCTTTTCTGTTTCTATCATCAAAGAGGGACGAAGATACCAGAGGGACAGTCAAATTCATAGATCGAAAACAAACTGACAACGCCATGGCCAAAAATAAAAAGACAAACAGACAAATAATAGTACAGATGACACAACATAGAAACCAAAGACTAAGCAACACGAACCCCACCAAAAACTGGGGGTGATCTCAGGTGCTCCGGAAGGGTAAGCAGATCCTGCTCCACATGTGGCACCCGTCGTGTTGCTTATGTTATTACAAATCCGGTAAATAGTCTAATTCGGTAAGTCACATTCGTGAAAAGGAAGGGTATTGTAGTTACGACATAAGGAACATATCCGATATCATCTGTGAAACGGTTATTCCATAACGGTCAACCAACTCGTGATGGCGTCCGTAAAATTTACGAAGGGATGACTTCAACTTCACCATTTGGAACTCTTGGTTTAATAGCATCAATTAGTCGGTTTTTTTTACTTTTTACTTTGATGTTAAACTATTCTTTATTCACCTTACTTTTTCAGTATAAGCATAAACGCAAGATACGAATATATAGTGCGCATAACACGTCTTTCTGAAAATATTAAAATTTCATATTTCTTTTGTAATTGAATACTCTAATCACATGTTCTGACTCTTATAGGTACTCATGTTTTCACTTTAGGGTCACGAAATCTTCTTTCATTGTTGAAATGATAGTCATTATTTTGATCAGTTATAGGTTGCTATAACGATGTATCTTCAAACAATCGGAATGAACTGCTGGTTTCTCACACGAATGAGAAGAATGAGGAAAATACACCAAATGTAACATTCATTGTGTTGATCATTCCAACCGCTGTTTTTTTGGTTGCAGCAGTAGCTCTTGTCGCAATTTGTTTTGGGAGGCGTAAGTTTTGTGCAGTGCAAGGTTCGTTAAATGAAATTATAACACACACCTAAATACTTGATTTCATAGATTTCATAAAATGTGATACAATTTATACAAGAAGGAAAAAAAATATAACCTAAACGAAATTGTAGCTAGTAGTTAAGTAATATGTTATCCGAAAGACTGATATTCGTTTACAAAGGTTTGAAAGTACAAACAAGTATAAATAGATAAATGTTCATCAGATTGGGAAAATAATAAATGATGACTTATTATGTCACATACAGCTTGAAATGCCTTCACGAAAAATATACAAACATGGTTAAGAAGAGATGTAATCATACACGTGAATAAGAAAACAGCCCTAAACACATTCTTCAACCTAAAACAATTACAGAACAACATGAGGTCTTAAAAAAACAAAAAATAGACAAAAAACTCATCAGTGGGCTCGAATAAAAAAGGTTAAAACATAGCTCAACTGCTTTTTACATCTCCTTTGAAATATTCCACTTTTAAGATCTTTAATATCAAACGAACAATTAGATCACTAGAAAATACTTTCATTGTATATTAAATTGCATTTCTATTTTATTTTCAGGAGCCGATACATCATGCAAAGCAATGAAAGAAAGCGGTTTCAATGAACATTTGGCATTAACTACGATCACACAATTAGATTCCTCAATTCCTTCCGCAATTGATCATGAACATTCAAGTGAAACTGACACAGGCAGTTCTAACTATTCATCACACCAAGCTGCCGATCATATTGGACAATCTAGTCATTTGATATATTGTCGTAATAATATGTGTCAACAAAGTACACATGAGGACAATTATTATAGGTCATCACAAAAACATGAGAATACTATTGTCTCTCCTACGTCGAAATCCGAACAAGAATTAATTAAAATTAACTTTTGTTAAATCGAAACACAATTTCGACTTTTAATCCAATAATAAAGTAATGATATTTAAAATTATAGCATAGCATACCAAGTCATACTTTAAACATTAAAACGAAACTTTTTTTCCTTTAAACATACCAGAGTATTACATATATTTATTTGGTAAACTGTCCTATATTTGAGGTTCAGTTTACATAAATGTCTTCTTCAAAATAAATTTGTTTTAAGCTTCAACATAATGTTGTATGGTTTTTTTCAAAATTCGTCAGAACTTGCATATGCCATTGTAATTGAATAAAAGAGAGATGAAATTGATCATTCATTTTATTTTTCAATTTGGGAGATAGAAACAAAAGATGTAATATTGGCAGAAAATCTTGTGTTTGAGCATTGGTAAAAATTTGGGTTAATCGTAACCTGTAATCGTAATCGATATATTACAAATATGATGAAATAAAACCTAGTTTAAATGAAAATAGACAACTGCATGTATTTATCGGTTTATAGTACAGATATATATATATATATAGACATTCTATTTTATCTGTACTATAAATTAAAAGTATATATATATGACTTGAGAGTTCTGTCAAATGACTTTTATTCAGATCTGTTGTCCAAAACTCCGTAATGTTCAATCAGATTTCTTACAATTTTTACTGTATTTACAGCTTCTAATGCCTGTAAATACTTTTAAAAGCTTTTATATTAAAAATAGGAAAATATAAAATATAAATTTGACTCCAGTCTTATCACCTGTAATTAGGGAGAGTATCCAAACAAAAAGGATAAATTCATGCATGTAATTATAAATTATGAATTTTCATCTCTAAAATTAGCTGAACTAATTATTACTTTTTTAATATTTTTTATTTCAACTTCCAACATTGTAATGAACTATATTCAAATAAACATGTTAATAATGAGTAAAAACAAACAACAAAACTTTAATCAGTATGACAGCAAAAAATATGGAGCAAACGGCCTAAAATATAAAATAGTGATTGATGCAATGATCGATTATTAATCGATTATATTTGTCAGTAATCGTGCCCATCCCTGTATAAAAATTACAATCCGGTATGAGGTTTTGTCAGTAGGAATAATAATGACACACATTTCATTAATGTTGTCTCAAATGAGTAGTGTATAAAAAGTAAAACAACAAAAATATCGAACTTCAAGGAAAATTAAAAACGGAAAGTCCTTTATCAAATGCAAAATCAAAAGCTCAAATTGTCCAATACTTTCACTTTGTAAAATAATACAAAATACGATACAATAGTATTTGAAAATTATGTATACATTTGGGCATTTATAATTTTTTAACAAACAACTGTTTGTATTCCATTATTCCAGATTTAAGGATCTATTGATAAGATTAATATTCCCTATCCACTGCATGTTTATGTCCCAAGCCAGAAGGCTCGTTGACGATTATCTGTAGTTGTATCGTACAGTTTTGTTTTTGTTTTTTGATCTTTGATGGATTTTGTATCCCTTGTTGACTAAAGCAATGTGTTGATCATGTCTTTTGATTGCTGTCTCGTGGGTGTGTACCTCACATCTATTTGTGTTCATACTGATACGTCTGTAATATAAATGTAATGTATTATAATATGAAATCGTTTATCTCTATCTTCATATATGTTTGTGAGCTGTATTTTATAAATATCGCCTATAAAAACTTAAAAGTAAGTATTGAAAGAAGTAGTGGATAACTTTTGTGCACACGATACTTTCATTTTGTATAAGTTCATTTAATCTGCCATTTATATAGCTTAAAGACACATCAAGGGTCTAGACGAGGAATTATATGACTGTTTGCATTAAAGAGAGGTTAAAATGTTTATCGCATTAACCAAGTTTCTGGTTTAGCGGTATACTACTGTTGCCTTTATTATTGATAATTGAAAGTTTATATCCATTATAATAGAGTTTTAGAGAGTACATATCCATCATAATAGGGTTTTAGAATATTTACAGAAAGATAAAAGCATATCTTCCTATAAATATAATATAACTCTATTATAATTAATATATAGTTTTAACTATGGACTACAGCTGTATCGTATGGGTAATGCTGCTAAAACTAATATTGACAAATCAAACAAGTAATAAAATAATTGTGAATGCAAGTGTTGATGCTTTTTCGTCTGCTTTAAAAGTTCAAAATGTTAAGACGGCATACTATTTATAATAGAATTAAGTATGTTATTACAGTGATGATATATAAGTGCATTAATTATCTAGCATCTGCATGTTTGTCTGAACTTTTTTTTCAAGTTGTTCAAGTAATAATAACTATGCATGAATATCCTCTTCACAAAATGATATATTTGTTAACGATATGAAACCAATTATGGTAAAATAACCTTTTTGTTTTTTAATCTTGTTGTGAAACTCTCAGTCTTAAACTCTGAAATAAACTAAAAGTGTAAATGTGTTTAAAGCAAATTGGCAAAGATGAGAATTTTTAAAATTATCTTATAATGTGACCCTTTAACTATAAATATTCCTCATTCAAGTCAATGGCATTTGTCTACTTGTACTATATAGGTGCTCTTGTATACAGTGTATTAATATGTTTTGCTTATCTACTTTTTGTTATGTTTTTGTAGTTACCTTCTGAAAATAAAGAATTTATTACAATTTTTATATGATATCATCGCCCGGCATTTTGAGTCTCTATCATGTCAGGCTATCTTGACCAGGTACAAAATTATCGTCTGTTTTTTTCCGGCGGAGTCAAGCAATGGTGGTTGGTGTAATTTGTTGAACTATCTAAAAGAAATTTTAGGATCCTGTTATCCTTTTTGTGTATAGTTAACTAAATATAAACAACACATGTACAAATTTAAATCCCTATCTGTGTCATCTTTAATTGTTCTTTAAAACCATACCCAGTTCTGTTCATTCAAACTTGTTACGATATAAATCTTTGTGTGTTAATTGCCATTAGATCTCGCAAAACAATTATTGTTTAGTTAAGTCATCAAATCCAGTTGGCTGATGGTCTTTATTCCAAGCGTGTTAAAATTCTTCTGTCTTTACCAGCATTTCAAATAAGATTTCAGTTATGGTTATTATTATACAGACAAAATTCAAATAATTGGATGAAAAGGTAAATACAATTATTTTTTGTCTATAATTTATAGCTTTAACATCTTTAGATTTATATAGGGTTCTTAGATTCATCATTGTCAGCAAATGCTCAAGTCATATGATAATTCGAATTTAATAAAAAAAAGTTGGAAAAAAGTAAAATAACAAAAATACCGAACTCCAAGGAAAATTCAAGACGGAAAATCCCTTATTATTAAATGGCAGAATCAAAAGCTCAAACATAGAAAATGGTGCTAATGATTAAACCTAGTTTTATAGCCAGCTAAACCTCTCACTTGTATGACAGTCATAAGAAATTCCATTATATTGACAACAATATGTGTGCAAAACAAACAGATATAATAGGTAAAAATGTCAAAAACTGCGGTACAGCAGTCAAAATGGTGTTATAATCTTAAACACTATAAAAACAAATAACTATTCCAACAAAGAAAAAAAAATGGCAAGAAGACACTCGAAAGACAAAGCACATACTGTAAATTCAGAAATTTTTGCGAAAAATGCGACAGGTTATTATCGCAATAGTTTTAACCCGCATTTTGAAATTTTTTATATGAATTAAACAGGATTTTTCTCAATATCGCAAAAATCAAAATCGCATTTTAGTTTAAAATGACAAAATCGCAATAATAAATAATAATTTCTGAATTTACAGTAAACAAAAGTGAAAGACAAGAATTCAAAAGTGACCATAGCACAATAACACAATGGCGGGATGTATAAATACCTAGCCACGCCAAAAGTATATACCAAAATGAACTAAACAGCTAGTAAATGTTAAAAATAGACGAAGACAAATAAAAAAAAAACCCACTGTAACACGTAATTAAGATGATAAACAACGTCAGTACCTAGAATCTATACTTCAAGACCACCATGTATTATTTTTGAAGTTGATACGAAATATTTATCAACAAGGTCTTGGTATCTTTCGATGAACTTTTTAAGGACGTCTCGTTCTTTGACACAATCCTGGTTCATCAATGCAATTCCTTTGTAGAACATGCAGATGAGACGGCAATGTACTGTTGTTTGTACGGAATTTTGAGAAGCTTAGGTATCCAATATAAACAAGGTAAGTCCTCAGATTTGCTGTTCAATGTAATGTTCTTTGAAGCCATGAAGGACTTATGATTAGCCAAAATCTCATCCTTGTCAAAGGATATGTTTTTGTATGTGGGATTACCTGAGTGCTCATTTATTCCAAATTCTTTTACATCACACTCGTAGTAGTACGATTTACTTACAAAAACAATATTATTTAAAGCGTTATTCAACAACATATTTATCGTAAAGAGATGATAGACATTTCACAGCTTCTTTGTCTCTAAAAACGGAATTTGGTCGATCATTCACACAGTTTTTCAACTTAAATTCGATGTTTTATCAGAGACCTGATTGTCTTGACCTATTTTGACAAAGTGTCCGATTCAACTTCTTCTCTTTCAGCCCATGCTCTGACGTAGTTCTCATAGGAATCCATTATTATTTTGAAATTATGGTTCCAATTGATGTGTTTGGGGTTTTAGATCTACTTGAATGGCTTGAAAATTTACTATAAAAACGTGTACATAGACTTTTTTTTATAAAAGAAAAACCTTTATTTTATCAAAGTCATCAGAAATGCACTGCTGTTGACTTATTGTCTTCCTGTTCTCTAATTCGCCGACAGCTTTTCAGGATGCATTGTCCTAAACCATGACACCTTTTGTTAGACGTTCGGCAATCACAAAGCGCAAATGCGAGGGGAAAAAATAAAGGCAACAGTAGTAAACCGCTGTTCAATAGTCATAATTCGATTAACTAAATTCAAATCCTGGTAACAAACTTAAACCGAGGGAAACACATCAACTATAAGAGAAAAACAACAGAACAACAGAAACACCAAACTACAACAAAAGCAAACGCCAACATACTTAGAAACGGACTGTGTGATAACAACTGCCATATTCCTGACTTGGTACAGGACATTTTCATAAAAAAAGATGGGTTGAACCTGGTTTTATGGCTAGCCAAACCACCCGCTCATATGACAATGTTAAAAATACAGCTAAAATGACAACACTACGTGACAGGAATACAGTACAAACAAACGCGAGAACACTCAGCACAGAGAAATACATAAATAAATAATATAATAGTACATTACAACATGTAAACCGCAGAATAACAACAGACACCTCCCACGAATTCACGACAGCACACCAGGACACCACAAACGAAATATAAACTGCGCGTCACATGAATTGATCAACGTCACAAAAAGTGACGTATTTTTTGTGACGTTAACAAAACAGACTTGTTTAATTTATCGACACGTACAAGAATATAAATTAGAATTGAGTCTGTAATGGTGTTATTTTATGTATTTTTTAACCATGACCAGAATATTAAGATTGAATTGTGTTTGTAATGGTGTTATTATTTGTATTTTCTCACCACGTTGGTTTTTCTTCTAAATCAAGATTGTGTATAAACAAAACAAATCCTGTGCATATAGTTGTTCTAAACTTAAAATCATGTAAATGATGTAGCTGATTTTTTCTCTTAACTTTTACAGACATTTAGAAAATAAAAAATAAAAATAAAATTACTGTAATATAAGGCAAGATCATGTAAGACCAAACAGTAAACACACATGAAAACAAACAACATAAACAAAAATCCTGTAGACGAACCACGAGTAACTCGACTATACTGACAAATGAAACATATATGTGAAATGTACCGAAAATAGAGAATTCAAACCACAAACGAAATAAACAGACAACAACTCAGCACAAAATTACCCGCCGGACACACACGTATGAGAAAGTAACAACAAAATGCCCGAAAGCGGGATATATAAATATATATAAATTAATAGGTAACGATTGGTAAACTTCGGCGCCAAAGCGTTTTTTTTTTTTTTAAACACAAAACTCGTTATCTCCTTTTGAATAAACATTAAACAGGAAAACATCTCTTTCTTATACCAAAACTCACATACAAATGAGAGGTTAAGCTAGCTATACAACCAGGTTTAATCCACCATTTTTTACATATAACAGTATTTTAACGTGTTTGAGCTTTTGATTTTGTCATTTGGTAAGGTACTGTCTTGAATTTTCCTTGGATTTTTTTTTTTTTTTTTTTTTTTGTTATTTTACTTTTCACAACAATCGTTATAATGAAAGATCTATAGCAGAAAATTAAATTTGAATTCTTAAAACAAATACCGAAGATCTGCTTCAAAATCTTCCATCATAATCTGTACAATTTGTCTACAATCATAAACTTAAAAATTTTCCACACGCCACACTACTAATCCTCATGCTCAATTAATTGAAAGCCCAATTTATCAACTTGACATCAAGGATATCATCAAAACTAGAAGGTCTACACCATATATGGATCTTTTTTTTAGACGTGGTAAATAGTCATTGCATTTCAAGTCCTAAAAGAGAGGCGAAAGATACCAAAGGGACATTCGATCTCATACGTCGAAAATAAACTCACAACTCCATGGTTAAAAAAGAAAAAGACCAACAGACAAACAATAGTACACAAAACACAACATAGAAAACCAAAGACTGAGCTGAAACGTTGTAGTGTACTTAGAAAATAGCTTAGACAAAATAAAAATCAGTCGTTCATACAATCGTTCAGAAATAGACCACTATAGAAGCTACATACAACCATTATTTTCCTTTAAAACCAGTACTAATTGCAAATTACTGAAAAAAGGTGGAACTGGTTGTTTTTGATTCTCATAATATTGGGACATCTGTGTATTTTACTAGTTATCACGCGTCTTACAGACCATCGCACTTTGGCGCAGACCATCGCATTTCAGCGTCCCCATCGCATCTCCGAGTCCTACATAAATATATATGACAAACATGTAATTTCATTTTTCCTGTTGCCAACTTCCGATTCACAGGAGATACATACAGGTGCGGATTCCGGCAGGGGGCAACCCCTACCCCCATTTTCCCTAAAAAACAGAAATAAAAATAAATGATAAAGGTAAAATTACAGCCAATTTTGTGACAAATTAGGTCTTCTGAGTCCAAATACTAAGGAGCGTCCCCTACCTTTAATACTGGATCTGCACCTGACATAACCTGTGCAGCATCGTATATGGTGTGTATAAATTACAACGGTTAGGTTACGCTCATCAATGTTTATATTTTATATTGCTATGGATCTGACGATTTTGATTTTCTGAATGGATTTATTGGATTTTACATAGGTGAACTACTTTTACCTCTAATTTACAGACTTCGTTAATTGGGGTGCGTTCATAACGCAAAAACCTCCATCAGGATTATGAGGAAGAACGACAGAAATAGACATCACGTATATTTCACGGTCACCATCTCGAATTAGTTAATCCATACGATGTGGCTGTGTCTCAACTCACGATTTATATGTTTTGCGGTCTTAGATTTTCAGATACGAGAAAAATCGACTAATCTGAACATTTACCAATTGTGTCCTGTTCCTTGTAATGCGAATTTTTACCTTTACTCTGGTATATAGCAAAAGGAGTTTACCCTGTTTACACACCGATCTCGTTTCGTGTTATGTTTCTGCGAATCTCTCATCGTTTTTTTTTTGTCTTCGCAAGTATATTCGAAATCGATCTACGTGCAATGGACATTGGTAAGTTACTGTTTCCTCTTGTTTAATATTCGAATGGCCGGTGTGGCATAATAGCAGGACCCTGTCGATGCACGCGGTATCGCTCTGATCCTCAATGCTCATCATCTTCGTTCTTTATTTTGGCTTTTATGATTTTTTTTATTCGAGGCTCACTGATGAGTCTTTTGTAGACAAAAGCGCGTCGGGCGTACAAAATGGTATCTATGTTGAGTTTATTTAAAGTTGATGCGATTCTGACAGGTTTTTTTAACCTTGACCTTTTCTTAACGGATTTATGATATGAACTTTGGTAAATTACTGTTACTTCTTATTAAATAGCCACAGGATCATATGTCTGGATTCAATTGATTTTTAAGCCTTAAAACCTTTCCTTTTGAAATTGGACCAGTGGAATATCAAATATTTTCGACTGTACAAAAAAAGTCAGTTCAGAAAATACACTTTATTTGATCATACAAATTTCACAGATAACAAAAATACAAGTTAAACATTAATAATAAATATTTGGGATATCAACTCGGTGAAGAATGACTTATCGAGTAATCGTTGGTTGTAACGAGCGATACCCGAGTAATCGCTCGGAAAAATATCTACAAAATGATATCATAATTTGGCACAATTTTAGGCTTTGTCTAATAACTACATTATCATATAAGATTCACCAGATGATAGCCCCAACAGTTATATACAATAATTATTAGCTCATTTACTACATGTACTAATAGAGTAAAATAATATTCTAATAATTAGATAAACACTTGTTGAATATAAATGATTACAAAGTCAAACCAGATCAAACAGCAGTTACTTTTCTAATTATTAAGATATTTAACCATTCACTTCTGTTTCTGGGGAGAAACGGAGAAACGAAACTTTCGAATGGATAAACTTAACAATAAAGTTGACATTTTTTCTACAGTTTTCAAATGAAGTTTTTAATTTTTTTCATTTCATTTAAAGTAGAGAATGGAAATGGGAATGTGTCAAAGAGACAACAACCCGACTAAACAGTAAAAAAAAAAAACAACCGAAGGCCACCAATGGGTCTTCAACACAGCTAGAAAATCCCGCACCCGGGGGCGGAATTCAGCTGGCCCCTAAACAAAATTTGTACTGTTTCAGTGAAAATGGACGTCATGCTAAACTCCTAAACATATAAATGAACTAAAATTTAAAAAAAACATACAAGACTAACAAAGGCCAGAGGCTTCTGATTTGGGACAGGCGCAAAAATGCAGCGGGGTTAAGCATGTTTAGTGAGATCTCAACCCTCCCCTATACCTCTAGCCAATGTAGATTAAACAAACACACAGAAATACGTACAGTAAAACTCAGTTTAAAATAAGTCCGAGTCCGATGTCAAAATAGGTTACAAAAGAAACTAAGAAAAATGACAATGATACATATATTAACAAAGGACTACTAGCAGTTACTGATATGACAGCTCCAGACCTCACTTAAACTGATTGAAAGATTATGTCTTCATCATATGAAAATCAAGCAAAATCCCTCCCATTAGGGATTTAGTATCATATCATCATAAAATATATACGAAGAACATAACCCGTATCATGCCAATAACTGGTTTTAGAATAAATGTGCAAAGACCCTATGAGTGAATCAATATTAATACTAACTATTGTCGCCTTAATTTGCTGACGAAGTTATATTCATCTTCATTATCATCCAGAACAAACACAAATGTTAGTTTCACATAGACTTATTAATATAATACTGTTGTGCACAAGGGCAAAGAGGGGCGAAAGATACCTAAGGGGCAATTAAACTCATAAGTCGAAAATAAACTGACAACGCCATGGCAAAAAAACAAAACCAAAAGAAAAACAACAGAATACAAAACACACCATAGAAAACTAAAGACTGAGCAACATAAACCCCACCAGCAACCGGTGGTGATCTCAGGTGCACCGGAAGGGTTAGTCTATCCTGCTCCACATGTGACACCCGTCGTGTTGCTCATGTAAGTACAAACCCGGTGATAAGTCTAATTCGGTAGTTCACATTCGGGGAAAGGAGGGTAGGATCGTGGTTACAACTGTGTGCACGAGTTATTACAATTTGTGTTATAAGAAGCATTCTCGTAAGCATTTATTTTTGTTTTATTTCTCTTTTTTTGTAGATTGGTTTGAATATGTTCTGGTTACTTTCCCACGTTGTCGTATTAATGTACCATTTAACGGATTCATCTTCTTTATTTGGCCTTGGAGGTAATAGTTCTATTTGAACTAATATTCTAATATTTAGCTGTTATTTTTATGCGGGATAGCAACTATCAATCTTCAATAAAAAAAATCTATTAACGATTGTATTTTTATGCTATTTATTTGTTTCTTGAATTTTTTGGGGGTAAATCTATGGATAATCATACAATGGTAATGCGACAAATCAGACTAAATTTCAGGTAGGTATATAAAAATAAGAAGATGTGGTATGATAGCCAAAGTACAAATGACGTGAATTTAAGCAATTGTAGGTCACTGTTCGGACTTCAACAATGTAAAAAAACAACATACCGTATTGTAAGCTAATATGAAACAATTCAAACGAGAATAAAAACAACGTCGTGATTTATGACAAATCAATAAATGAAAAAAAAATTATGACTGATGTAAGTAACCAACTCCGACAACCTCTACATTACAGGCTCTTGGCTTGGACAGGCACATATAATGTCACGGGTTAAACATGTTTGTGAGCGCTTAGCCCTCCCTATCCTGGGACAGTGGTGAAACAGCACAACTGTGGAAAAAACTGTTAAAATCTTTTTTTTTAGTCTATCACATATATATACTTGACGTTGGGTATTTAATAAACTACCTATGAAATACAGTTTTAAATGATTATATAAAAACATTTAAATAAAATTGAGAATGGAAATGGGGAATATGTCAAAGAGACAACAACCCGACCAAAGAACAGAAAACAGCCGAAGTCCACCAATGGGTCTTCAACGCAGCGAGAAAATCCCGCACCCGAAGGTGGTCCTCAGCTGGCCCCTAAATAAAATTGTGTACTAGTTCAGTGAAAATGGACGTCACAATAAACTCCAAAACATATAAATGAACTAAAATTGAAAAACATACAAGACTAACAAAGGCCAGAGACTCCTGACTTGGGACAGGCGCAAAAATGAGGCGGGGTTAAATATGTTTTGTGAGATCTCAACCCTCCCCCTATACCTCTAGCCAATGTAGAATAAACAAACACACAGCAATACGCACAGTAAAACTCAGTTTAAAAGAAGTCCGAGTCCGATGTCAGAATAGGTAACAAAAGAAACTAAGCAAAATGACAATGATACATAAATGAACAAAGGACTACTAGCAGTTACTGACATGCCAGCTCCAGACCTCAATTAAACTGATTGAAAGATAATGTCTTCATCATATGAAAATCAAGTACAATCCCGCCCGTTAGGGATTTAGTACCATACCATCATAAAATATATGAGAAGAACACAACCCGTATCATGCCAACAACTGGTTTTAGAATAAATGTGTTTATTTCCGATGCAAAGACCCTATGAACATATAAAAACCTATTTGGAATGATATCGTTTCGAGTATAGTTTTCGCTGCAAGGAAATCAAAAACACAGTGTGTATTATACACGGTGTTATTTCTTTTTTGATGCTAAGCTGAAGCTAAGCTTTCTACTACCTATCTATGTTTTTTTTAATGTTTATCTTTAATTCAAACGAATTCATGTTTTACTTTGTTTTAAAAAAAATCAATCATTGACTTTGAGAGTACATGATACAGTAACGAAGACGTAAAATTTGATGCGGACTACGACAGCTTTTTGTTTACTTTTTTTTGCAACATTTATACTTACTTGCACGATTTCTTTGTTGTCTTTAGTATTTATCGGACTCACATTTAGACCACACGAGAACGGTGGATTTGATTAAGATTTTTTATGTATGTGTTCTGTGTTTTAGTGGCTGAAAAACATAATTGCTTTTGTTGTTCCTGTTGGAATGCAGACTTCAGCTGTACCGATGATGCAGTGGTTGTTAATGTTACCTTAGACAGCTGTTCTAATATCCCAAAAGTATTTCAACTAGACATACTTTGGTATCGAGACAACATGGTTTCAAATACAACAATAGATGAATTAGATGTTGGAGAACACAAGGTATAATTCAGTGTAATTTTCTTGCTCTTTTATCCATAGTTAACAATCAAATACCGGTATGATCAATACTTTTATCATCAGAGTTCGCCGACTGGTTTTTCAAGTATCCGATATACTTTGTTTTGTCACACATTTCATTTCAGTCCTATATATATATATATATATATATATAAATGGATGTTTCAATATTTTTGGTGAAGTACTTACAGCCGCACCAAATGCTTGTTTAATCATAGAACATTTTTTATGATAAAATTTGAATTAGATTTTGGATTTTCAATTATTTTTACTTCGAGCATCACTGAACAAACATTAATTGTCGAAATGCGCATCTGATGCAGTAAAATTGGGACCTTTAATGTTATGTTTTGATAGACTGTACAGATAAGGTTCATCTTTATCCAGGCAATGTTTTTTAATATTATTTTTTTATAATGCCATTAGATACTCGATCCATGGCAATTTTTATAATTTTATTTCAGACAAGTGCATCTATTGAAATTAAAAGGAATTGGATCATTTTGAATGTTCGAATATCAAATGTTGAAATTATGGTAAGTTTGATATTTTTTAGACTGCCAATTTAAAAAAATGCTCCAGAATCGTCTTTTCAACTGTTCAAATGATTGAAAATGATACACGGATCGAAATACAAAATAACGCAGTAAATTTCAGAAATCTGGTTTTAATCAAGTGCGTCTCTTCTTTCACCCTGCAGAATGTTGTTTGAAAATATTTGTTAGAATAGCAGCTATAGCTATCATCTTTTAAAAAAGATTTGCGTATAACTAACAACATACCTAACTGCTTATACCTTCGTGTTTTTTTAACTAAAGACGTACAAAATGAAGTATTAATTTTTTATGTTTATTTTTCTCGTTTGTTCAGATAACACCAATGAAATGTACAGAACATCCATATTGTCAGTGTAGACCTGTACAAAGTGGTATGCAAACATTCAAATATTTATAGCTTACGCAACTTCGTTGGGGAGTAATATTTAGCAATGAAAAGCTGTATCTATGAAAAGAGATAAAAGATGTCATCTCTACTATTTCTTTTTATCGAAATTAGTTTAAAAGTTCAAAGACAGACCCTCGTCGCATTACATTAATGTATGTGCATTTTAACTTAAAAACACAGAAATATCTACATTCGCCGGATACATAGGCTTAATTACTCTCAAGATCTTTCCGCATCAGCTCTAACTGTGTTATAAGTTTGACAGCGGTTAACCGCCCTTTATTGTATGACAAAGCCTTTATACATTTTCAATAAAGCAACTTCTAAAGCATCTTTAATCGTTCGGGGCAGAGATTACTTCGATATAGTTAATGTCAATGTGTTGTTCGGTACATGTAGCTCGTAGACCGTTTTTATTCAGGTACTGTAACCAAACTTTTTTTCGCAGATACTTTCTAGTTTTCTAGCCAACTTCGCGGCGATTTGATTTCGCGATTTTCAAATTTACATGATATAGTTGAATAAAGAAAGATCCAAGTTTTACATATTAGCCACGATTTATATTCGCGTTATTTTTCTTCTTGCGAAAGTCGCGAGAATAAGTCTTAGGAAAATAAGTTGGTTTACAGTATTCGATATATACTGTATAACAGGGACCACCAAGGGAAAAGTCTATTTATACAGACATGCAAAATAATTCAGTATAACGAGTTGTTATCCTGGTGATATCATGTCCGAAAATTTGATTATCTGAATATATATTTTTTGTTTGTACTTGTCTAACATTCTACATAATTTACTCGCAAGTTATAAAAAACGGGTTGACGAGGGCAGTTAGGAAAACAGGAAATACTTCTCTTTCATCGTTTGGCTGCAAATATTGTTTATTCAATTCTTATGTCTTTGGAAAGCTTGAATTTATTATTATTTTTATTCGCAGTATGCTTCAACAGATAATCTTGTTTCGTTGTAATTTAGGTGCTTTTTGTAAGACATCTAGACATTTGTTACCAGAATTTCAAGACAAGACAACTAAAAAGTTTACTCTAAAGGACTCAAATAAAGAGCTTACTCTAGAGAAAAACTATATAATATTGACAGCAGTAATTGTATGTGGTGCTGTATGCGTAATGCTTGTATCAGTAATGTACAAAAGAAACGAAATGAACAGACCAGTTCGTCGCCAAGGTAAACTATAATTTTCATTATTGGTTTGGGAAGAGCTTTTATCAAACTGATGATCAAGCATTCGGAATTGTTAGTTACTCTATCATAAAAGAGTCCATAATAAACCCCACATCTCTTATGAAGTAAATAAAAGATTTTAAAAAGACCAGGCAATATCAATCAATGTGTCCTCTGTCGTAGATGAATTGAGTGACATATTTAGCTATAGACACCTACTGTCAATTTACAATAACATTTATTTTAGTGAATCTTTAACAACGGACGATGGTTAACGTGGTTCATGTACTTGGTGTTAAAGAATGCAACAATCAAAAATTAAAATGCAAGTTCGGATATTGCAAAATTCATCTTACATTTTTCATACAAATAGATATTTTTTTTTTCAATTTACCATATATAGTTCCAGAAATTCTTAATTTAACGCAAATGTAAGGAAGTTTTAAAAGAAAGATAAGGACATTTACGGTTTCATAAAAGAAATATTATAAGAGTGTCGGAATACGGTCATGTAATGTAGTGTATAAATACATATGTATATTATCAAACAAATGGATGGAAAAAGCAATACACATCAAGGAAAATCTGCATCATTCTTCAGAATGCTACCACCCGCACAGCACTGAAGCGGATTTAGTCGTTGTTTATTTCCTTTTGGTGTGATGCTGTTAAGCGTGTAAATTTTTGGCTTTTCAAACGATTGATTTCGAGCCTATTTGGTGAAGATTATTATAATAGAATAATGTGCGAACAAAAGATTGGTTTAAGTTGGTCGTCGGTCTTTATTTAGGTACTTTCGGTTTTTTTACGCTCCTCACCCTTTTTGCTTTTCAAACTTTTAGGCATAATCGTTCTTGATTATTTGAACTCTAAAAACACGTGTCGTTTTCATGCAAATCGGTGTCATCGATCTATCTTTTCTATCCATGGGTCTGTAGCGCTGTTGTTAGGCTACCGTGAGTCCCCAACTATACCAACATCCCATGGCAGTATCAAGTGCTTTTATCTGTAACTGTTCTTAAATTATGTACGAAAACGGTTTCAACTTCTTCAGGCCAAGTAAGTATCAGACACATTTGTAATTTTTAGACCTTTTTTGGATGTTCGATCTCGGACGTTTTATATTTTTGTAGAATTTGAGAAATACGACCACTATCTTTTTTCAGTTTATCCTGTAATTTATATTATAAGCGTTAACTCAAATAAGACGAACAAACAATTTCGTCATCTTTATATTGCGTCACAAATTCTGTATCCTACATCATAAATTGCAGTTCATTTCATTTTGTTTTGGATAACTTTCAAACTATATGGGTTAGTTTCATGCTTTTGAAGACGTGTTCTAGATGTTCTTTTAACATTCAACACTATTCACATAAATGACGCCCATATTCCAAAGTATGTTGTTTTTCATATAGGAGTTTATGACTTTTCTGTTTGTGTAACATTTTTAAAATCGATCTAGATAAATTTTTCATCTCTATTTTCAGACAATTTTAACAACAGAAGAATGGATGATGGTGAAACAGTTGCAATGCAATGCAATACAGTAACTACTAGTTAAACAAAACGAACAAATCCAAAATTGCAATAGGATGTAGCTTTACTTTATGCATGGGCCCAACAATTAAGATGTTGATAGAATATTGAATGCGTGTTTCTGAACTTTATCGAATAACTGGAGAACGCGTTTATGATAAAATGATATGTATCCATCAAGATAGCTAGGAATGACTACCACTCGAACATATTTAATGCAAATGAATTCACCACTTAAAACGTTCCAACAAAGTTCCAGAAGCTATAGTTATAAAAGTGTTGTTTCTTAAAACGTTTCAGAAGCTATATCTATACAAGCGTTGTTCCTTAAAATATGTCATCGTGTTTAAGATGTGAAGGCTAGCTTTTTATCATTTCACAGCTTTACAGTGATTGCTTATACTTATCATAATTATCGGTTTTCAATTGTGTTCTCGGACAAGTTTTAAATTTCTTTACATCTGACACAAATGCCCGTGTCTCTTGTTAGGGTAACAATTTGGATCTCCGTGACAGACAAAACAGCTGTTGTCTTCCAAATAAATTCGTAAGTGTATAATGTTTGTCACCTCCGACTTTTATCATTGGCTTTCCGTATAACTGATGTCTAACATTTTCAGCCAAATGGCAAAAAAGTTGGACGTCACATAGGAATTTCTGAATAGTATCGTGCGTTGACAAGGATTTGACTTAATCATCGTTTACTGAAAGCATGAAAGGGTAGCAGATGCCATCCTGTCCTCCCAAATAGTAATTAAGTATCCCAAATTCGATGAAAATTTATCAATAAACTCATCATAGATACCAGTATTGAAATTTTGTATTTGCGCCAGACGCGCGTTTCGTCTCCAAAAGACTCATCAGTGACGATCGAATAAAAAAAGTTAAAAAGGCCAAATAACCATTTAGTCTGTACTGCGCTGTAATAGCTTAGCTTTGCTCAATAAATTCATATTGAGGTCATTCTTGCCTCATGGCAATTAAGTGTACGAAATTTATATAAGGATAGACTTAGCCGATAAGCTTGCATTTTGACATCTGATTTTGATATCATTGGAGATCATCCCGTTAGACAACTTCCCATTAAAGAACAGATACAAATACAAGACGTCTCAACGGGAAAATCAGTAAGGATTATCTTCTTCTCGACTAATTTGATATACCAAGTGTGATAAACTGGTTGAGGTGTTCAGTTTGCATTGTGCTGACAAAGTTTCGACATGGGCCTTTGATCCCAACTTGAAATGTAAACCATTGAACCAAGGATGTTAATCCTCATCATGATGATTATGCGTATAGTGTCAATATACAATTAAAAACCAATTGTTCAGAGAACATAGTTTCTATATACTTTTGCCTGTAAACCAGGAGATAATTGGCCACTTCCGGCTTATTGAAAGTCACTTCTAGTCTTTAGTGATAATTTAATGTATTTAAATTAAAAAATATATGGATTCCGAGTACTTTTCCATGAAGAAAGTTGGATACTTCCGGTTTTCTGAAGGTCACTTCCGGATGTCATTTTTCAAGGTCATATGTTACCCAACCTTTTGTAAAAGGTCATATGGCTTTATAATGAACCAAGTTGAAGAAATAATCAATAAACCTTATAATTAGACATTTCAGGGGCACTAACTCCTATAAGATTCACTTCTTTTCAAAAACCGTATAAGATAACAACAACATATTTTTACTAAATTGTTAGTTGTGACATGTCGTAACACTTAAATTTTAGTTGAAAGTGTACGTTGACATAAAATGGCAGTTTTCTCCCATTTTATAGGTAAAATTGTGTGTATGGTAATATAACTCGTTAACCATATCTAATAAAAACCTAAGGTATTTTGATTTGAGGTCTTTGGTTTATGTCATTGAAATTGAGGTCAAGGTCAAAGTTGATTTTGACGTTCTAGATTTTGACCTTTGCCTTAACTTCATATTTATTCATGAAAAGCCTTAGGACTTTTTTAATTAGGTTGCAAGCTATATGACCTTGAAAAATCCAACCGGAAATGACCTTGTGTTATCCGGAAGTAGCTTTTTTTGTACTTATTTTGATGTCAAAGTATATAGAACCATATATTTTTGGAATCAGTGTCAAGTAAAGTATCAAATAATACCGGAAGTGACATTTTTCAGACCGGAAGTAACAAATTATCTCTCTTATTTCAAACAAAATTGTATAGAAACCATATATTTTTGGAATCAGCATACATTAAGGTATCATTTGACACTCGAAATGACATTTTAAACCGTATTTTAATATTTTTATCAAAATGAATCGTAAGAAGTGGAAAGACCTTCTTCAATTGTTCTCTGAACAATTGGTAGAGAACAATTGGTTTTTAATTGTTTTCGTGTTCCTTGGTCAGCATCCTATTGAAAACGTTATTGCTACCTACAGACACACATAATCAACTTCTTTAGAAAGTGATAATAATAATTGAATGTTATGCTGCCGACTCACTCAGTAACTACAAACCAGACAGCTTCGGATGATTCTACGAATCAAAGACTGATATTCCCTGCATATGAATTCGGCTTCAGACAGGGGTAAAAAAATATATGCATCTGTTGTAAGGAGGAATACGTATAAAATGATATCTTCAGAGGAGTTAAAACGTCTTGACTTCCCCCCTTACTATCTATTATTAGTCTACTCTGCAGTATGTTATGACGACAATAGTTTCACGCATCGTTGTTAATATAATGGAATTTGATGCGACTGTCATACAAGTGAGAGGTTTAGCTAGCTATAAAACCAGGTTCAATCCACCATTTTCTACATAAGAAAATGCCTGTAGCAAGTCAGGAATATGACAGTTGTTATCAATTCGTTCGATGTGTTTGAGCTTTTGATTTTGCCATTTGATTAGGGACTTTCCTTTTTGAATTTTTTAGGAGTTCAGTGTTTTTGTGATTTTACCGTTTACCAATGTTCAAATCTCGTAAATCGATTAGGAAGAGACTAATCAAGGAATCAAGGTAAAAAACAAAAACTAAGGGAATCGTATGACCGGGTGCGTAGATAGTGTTTACGTATCCTGTTATGGCATGCGAATTTACACTCTATAAAAATGTCACAATCGGGAATATGGCACAATCGGTTAAATTACAGATCAGACGAATTTACAGGTATCTAAAGATCTAAGACCGCGAAAACATGTAGCTAAAGTTATAGTGAGTTGATACACAAACACATATCGGTCAACCAATTCGTGATCGTGACCGTGACATTTATGAAGTGTCGATTTCAGTCGTTATTTCTCATAACTCTGTTAAAGCAGTTTTTGCGTAACGAGCACACTCCTGTAAATGAAGTCCGTATAGTGTGAACGTGCACGAGTGTAACATATTAACTGAGATATGTAAACGACATGCAATGGGGCAGAAGGTATGTAACTGCTGATAAATGGGAAGTTGACAATTGGGAAGTTGAAATCATTAAGTTTGTCATATATTCTATATTATAGTTTGAAGTCGTCCATCCGTGTCAATATCGAGGAAAAGACCAAGATATGACGTATACCATTTACTTCCGGTAGTATCATTAATTTCAAGTTAACTGGGATGTATGAGATATAAGCACTCATTGAAATGTGGGTTATTGTGTGACAGAACATTATCAAGAGAGGTTTAGCGCTATAAAACCAGGTTCAATCCACCATTTTCTATATTTGAAAATGCCTGTACCAAGTCAGGAATATGACATTTGTTGTCCATTCGTTTGATGTGTTTGGTCATTTGATTTTGCCATGTGATTAGGGACTTTCCGATTGAATTTTCCTCGGAGTTCAGTATTTTTGTGATTTTACTTTTTATCAATATATCGAAGTAAATTAAAAAAAAACTTTGAGAGATACTTCTTCTTTTTGTCTTTGAGAAGGTTCTGTAGTAATTCATATTCATTTGAGTACCCCCAAAAAAGTTAGTGGTGGTGCACAATCAATATCCATTGGAATACCGACTGTCTGCTGAAATATCATTCCACCAAACTCAACAAATATGTTGTTGATCAAAAGTCTAGCATTTTGATGATTTCATCTACGCTGTATTTGTTGTCGGAATCAGTTTGGTTCTTCACAAATTAAGATTTTTCATGACCTAAAACAAAGAATTGTTTGTAGAAAGAGCTCTGTTTAATTATGTGATGTGTTGATCTTTCAAATGAGCATGGGGAATAGTAGTGTAAAGCGTAGAAAAATCAATGGTTTTGATATTGCTGCAAAATTGTAAAGATTGTAATTTTTAAGAATTCACATCCGACTTTCACGGCTTGTTTCATATAGTTATCACAATATTTCTGCAGGCAACTTTTACTGTGGAAATAATGGTCGTAAGAACTTTAGAAAGATGTTTATTCTAACACCCTTGACGATAAGGCTATGTATCGTTCTTTATAAGTGTTTTTGTGAAAATTGGTATCAAGTTTAAAGATGGTAGATTTTTATCGTCCTTTTTAATGTAAATACCAAAGGAGAGAAGGACGGATTGATTTGTGACTTTTCGAGAATGATGTAGAGATATGTGTTGTATTTACAGTTTTGCTATGAATTCCAAGTTCTTTGGTGAGACATTCCAAATAATGGTCTTTGAGGCTTTGTCTGCTTTGTTAATAGAGAATCCACAACAAGGACTTTTTAAAAGGATCAGAAACCCGTGAGCTCATGGTACACCGCAGACTTTTAATGCGCTTCTGAGTGAATGAACGAACAGATTTGATCGATTCAGATAAAGTGTCCTGATTTTTTATCTGGCTCAAGTTTTATCCATTTTCTAGCATAGTCATCAACTACATCCATCAGTAACCTGAATTTCTTCTTTGAGTTGATGGACTGTGGAATTCGATAGTTCGGGAACTTGTCTAACAACTCACACAGTTGTTTATTATTTACGATGCCAAGCTTGAAGGTCTCCAGTTATGACAGAGGAATGTCACTTTGACCTCTTTTTATCCTTCGTGGCTCTTGTTTTAGTGTCCGAGGTCAGTGTGTCCCAGTTTAGCCCTATGGTACTAAGTAATCTACAATGTAATGCTGTTTTGAGGTAATGGATGGATACATAAAAATAGCTGCTGCAATTGCCTTCTTCAAGTAGTTAACTCTGAACTAAATTTCACATTTCATTGACTTAAGTCACACTTTACATCCAAGCTCAATTATTATCAATTATTCCCAAATACTAGTCTGAGTGACATATTTTCAGAAGTTTAAAAGTTGTCCACCAAAAGAAGGAATTAATGAACCACATTTCCTGATTTGTTTTGGTTAAATTATTTTGAGTCTACCTTTTGATTTACACTCGGATAGCTAGGTACATTCATGTCTAGTATTCTAAAGACATTTTTCAATTGTTGAAGGCTGTATATTGACCACTATATGCATGCTTTGGGAATTTTTGTGTCATTTGTTGCTGATTTATCGACAAATGC